GTTCAATGAAGCTATTTTGATTAAACAGCTATGTAGAGTGGTGACTAAGCCAGAAGTGTTGATGAGCAAAGTTATCAAGAGCATATATTTTCCATCTTCTTCTATATTTACAGTGCCACTATCACAATCAGCTTCATGGCAATGGAGATGTTGGTAGAGCATAAGGAATCTGCCACAAGAGGGGCTGGAAGTTGTTGTCAAGAATGGAGTTTCCCTGAAGGTGCACGATTTCAATTGGATCCCAGGAGGAGAGGGGAGAAAGCCACATGTTGTTAATGAATCACTCCATAAGCAGCTGAGAGTAAAGGATTTACTTGATGAGACTGGCTGGCATTGGAATGAGCATAAGGTGAAAGAAATATTCAGTGAGGAGGACAGTCTAGCAAACCTAGCCATTGATACCTTGAACCCTACAGAGGAGGACAAGTGGAGATGGAAGATTGGTAAAAAAGGCAGGTTCTCAGTGGTTGCATCCTACTCTCACTTGATGGCTAAGAATCTGCGAACTTAGATATACCAGAAGGAAGCTCAACAGCTGAAAGGGAAAGAAAGATCAGGGCCAGAAGCTGGAAAATGAGAGTGCAAGGTAAGCTTAAACACTTTATATGGAAATGCTTTAATGGTGTTCTTCCTGTGAATGTGAATATAAGGAAAAGAGGAATATTGGTAGATGTGGTCTGTAATAGCTGCGGAGAGGGAACAGAAACTAGAGAGCATGTATTTTTGAAGTGCAGAAGAGCCAAAGAGGTTTGGAAACAAGCACCTGTAAGCTGGGATGGAATTTCAGTTGATAACTGCAGGTTCAGGGATTGGTGGGGCTCTATATGCTCAGTAGATAAATCTGAGATTTCTGAGGCCCGAATTCAGCTCACGACCTATATACTATGGTGGCTTTGGATGTCTCGGAATTTGTGGAAATTTGAAGGGGTCTGGAGACCAGAGAAGTCTATAGTGCAGGCAGCAGTTGTGGATTGGCAGACTTTTGTGGAGTTAGATAGGATGAAGAAGGCAGCACCTTTGGAACTGGCTAGGTCTATTTCTAGTACAGTGGCTCAGCTCTGATGCGTGCTTATGGAAGTAATTGTTGATAGTGGTTGCAGCACTAAAGGACTCAGATTTTCATATCCGCCTTTAGTTAGGATGGTTTCATGTTTGGTTTTGTTTTTTTTAGGCTATACAAGGTTTAGTGTAGCTCTCCCTGGTCTTGTGGCCCTCGGAATTTAGTTTGTATGTTTTATGTTCTGTTGATTTAGTATCTTGTTAATCTGGGGACTGTACAAAATATTGTATGTGTGTTTTTATTGATATGAGATTGCCTATCGATTAAAAAAAAAATAGAAAAATGTACAGTAAGAATATACTATAATTAACGCACACAGAAATATGATAATTTAAAAAACTCATAAACGAACCTTGGTAAAAATTGTTTATTTTGTTATTCACTTGGATTAGCATTAATCAATTTGGCTACATGGGTACCTTAAAAAATTTAATAATAATAATAAATTTTTTGTTATTCACTTGGATTAGCATTAATCAATTTGGCTACATGGGTACCTTCAAAAATTTAATAATAATAATAAATTTATATTAAAAAATAAAAATAAAAATAATGCGTGCATCGAGTAACAAAACTACAAAAGTACATAACAAAAGAAATTATATGACATAAAAGTAAAAATCATACAATATTGCTCTCAAAAAATAATAACAATTTTTTTTCCGCATATATATGTAACAAATTATGAATAAAGAAGATATTAAAGTGTGCTATGTCCAACACTTTTTTCACACGATGAAAGCAACAATGAATGGTGGCATAGAAAAGGCAACCATAGTTTTGCCATATGAAATCAACCATCATTGAGAACACTAATAAGGCGACAACAACCAAATTTATAATTGCATGAAACCTGAAAAATACACAAAAGTGTTAATAAATATATATAAAAGAGTTATGCTTATTTGAAGAAAAAAAAAATAAAAAAAAAAATGACAGTGATATGTTTAAATGTCCGACCGTCCAGGTGATACCGTAGACCACCGTTGTTTTCTTGCTCGACATCATAATCGTGCAGCAACTATATTAAGACCAATAGCAAATTTTTGTAGAGATAATCGTGTGACGGGGAGTGATGATTATGGTGAGTGGTTATTTATTTACAATGGGGTGATCGTGGGGATGAGAGTTAAAGAGCATAATTTCATTTCAAGTGCGGCAAAAATGTTATTTAAATAAATAAATTTATTAAAGTTGTCCTATTTTTTTTGTAATAGATACGAATGCAATACTTATTTGTTGCTAAACAATATTTAACTGTTTATGGACACAGGCAATTCATATAATTTTAATGATATTGAATAAATGTGAAAAAAAGAAATTGACGGTTAAATGAGTTAATATATATTAAATTCAATAAAAAATAAATACCAAATGAGGAGCACTTGTCAAACACACAACCAACTTTCCTTAAATGGCAATAAAAGTGTGTTGTCTAATTATATAATAGATTATTATTATTATTATTATTATTATTATTATTATTATTATTATTATTATTATTATTATTATTATTATTATTATTATTATTATTATTATTATTCTGGGAGCCGAGACTAATTTTTCAGTTATTTTTTGTCTCACCATATCTATGACTGATTTCATTTTTCTTTTTTTTTGGGTATTAGCCAATTAAATTTGTGGCACTATTTTTATCAACTAGTACGTGGCCCGTGCGATGCACGGAAAAACAATATTACGATTGTGTTATAAATTTAATATACAAATAAATTAATCATAATTTATCCATCGTTTTAAAATTAAACCGTGTTGGACACAGTACGACCGCATAAACCGAGAACCAGTTTATAATCAGTCTAGTTCACTTGAATAAAATATTAGCTATTGAATCAATCAACACCAGTCGATTGAACTGGTAGGATCGATACGATCTTCTAAATAAGTTTTGCTATATTTAAAACTATTTTAAATAAAATTAAATAAAATAGAGCTTTATAAATTGTTTATCAATTAATTTAAACATTTGAATTTTTAAATTGTTTAGATATTTAAATAACACATTTTATTCAAATTTATTACAAAAAAGTACCATATATATATATATATATACACATATATATAAATATATATATATAAATTAAATCGTACTTTTAAAGAAAAAAATAAAATGTATAATTTTTATAAATTGAATATATGATTGAATTGTATGATTATATTAAAGCGTATTTATAAATTAAATTGTATAATTTTTAAATAAAACAATAAGAAAAATAATAAAATTACTATTTATGAGTTGCATTAAATGCTGACCTACTTTTTTGCTACTAATTTTAGTAAATAGATTAGCTTTTAATATAAGTATAGATTTCCGTATCACTAAAAACTTCTCCAATGATGTATTTTCCATTAAGAGATGTATAACATGGAAAAATAAAATTAGAAAAATTTGTCTTGTTAACTCTAGTATAATTTGACATGTATAAAATTATAATTAGTTGAATATGAGAAATATATTTAATAAATAATATAATATATTATAGAGAATATTTAAAAGTAGACATTTTTAATGCCACATGGTAATAAAAATGAACAATCCATGAACCATTGGAGATGCTCTAAGGCGAGCGACTCCCCTCACACCTCATGCACGTCTTGGCAAATAGGGGGCTTGTCGCCGCAACTCGCCACATGCCTTTTTTTTTATTGTTCTTATCCTCCACATATATAATTCCAGAATGCGCTGAGCCTACGTGGCTGCTTCTGGTGCTTCGGAATCCTGTTTGACAAAGAATCATGCTTCGTAATTAGGTTTGGATAAATAATATTGATATATTAATAATTAATAATCTAGGTTCGGGTATTCCATAAATATTATTTAACTAATTAAGATATTTTATATCACTTTTACTAATATAACTCTTTAATTCTTTGTAAGTTTACATAGTGAGGCACTAAGTGGCTAATATATCCTTAAATTTTGATTTGTTTCCTTCAATAAGCTATTGAATTATAATTAAATTTTAAAAGTTGATAACTTTTGTATTTCTTATCGGTTTTACATATATAATATATCAAATTAATCATTTTTTGATGATCTTCGATTTGACATCCATATTGTATATATATGAAATAAATAAATTATATTTATCTTTATAATAATAAAAAAATAATAATATTTATTGAAATTCATTAGAAAAATAAAATTATTTCTCAATTGATATATTTATATGTAATGTAGTTATATATTATAAGTTAAAAAAATTACTATAATATAACATAAGTAAATTGCACAAATAAAAAGTGTCATAATAAATATATAATAATATATATATTCTTATAAAAGGTATTTAAATTTTCAAACTACTTTTTTCTCATTAATTTTAGATTTTAAGAAAAAAAAATTAGCAAGCACCCGTGTAATACACGGGTGTTGTACTAGTCTAGCTTTAAAACAAAATGATCATATACAATCTAAAAGAATAACAATTGGCGCAACTAAGAAAAGTAAAGGTGTGTTTGTATATGATATATCTCAATCCTTAATCAATCTATTATTAAAATCTAACTCAACTTTAACTCAACCACATTATCCTCAATATTATCAATACAATTAAATAATATTAATCAATCATTATTACACATCACATCAACTTTAATTTACTATTCATCCATTCACATAATTTTAACTAACTATCATTTAAGGTCATAACTCTTATACTTTTACGTCAAATCAATTTTTATTAGTTCAGTTAAATATTATTTTAATAAAATTAAAATCTCACTAACAATTAATTACTTTTTTTAAAAAAAAAATTAACTGAGGAAATATTTGTATACATACACCCTATAAAATTCTCAACTCCTGTCTATATCAATATAATGGAGTGAAGGAAAAAAATAGAG